TCTGCTTCCAATTGCACGCGTTATCCGCCTGATATTATACACGACGCGCCGTGGCAGCCAGACGCTGTCGCGCAGATAGGCGCGGTTCGCTTTGTGATTGGAAAGCCTGCACAGTCGCGTCGAGCCAGTTCTCCTACTCCGGGGAGATTTCCAAGTCGACTGTTCGGGTGATTTCGGGTTCTCCCTGTATAGTATCTACCATAAGATCCCATGGAGCATAATATCAAAGTCGTATGGCCTAGCTACCTGATGAAGTATATAGTAGTTAGGCACCGTTCTATCAAAGCTGAGTAGGTATTAACTGCCCTCTTAGGTAGTCGGTTGCGCAGTTGTACGTAATTATATTACACGATATCAATGCGAACTGATTGGCCAATGGGACTATATGTGATCTCCTGAATCTGGTATTGACGCCCAACCTCGTTTCATTCTAGCGGGTAAACACGGGGAGCTTATTACCCTGACAATGGGAATTTTCGGAAGAGAGAGATAGGGAGGTCCTGCCCGCATGGTGTAACATGTGGCCGGCCACCCCTAAACAAACCACCGCTTTTCTCTCCTGTCCCTGCTTTCGTATCTGCTCACAATTTTGTATGAAATATGTCCGTCAGAAAACGATCGTATAATAATGCTGTTCTATACAATGGGAACTCTTGACTCTCTAGTCCTCACCATTATCACCGTTTGGTCCGCATCTATAACACACTCATAATACTTACCAAGCAAGCCGTAATGACTTCAGGCCAGGTCACAACGGATCTCGGCACCCAAGAACCACCCCAACCCCCTCTCCCCCTTCAACTGCAAGCTTCGACCTGACCATCCTCCCGATTCACACGCTGACTCACTCACCCCCCCTAACCCCCTCACTTCGGAATAGCCACCTTGACCTCATACGTCCTTCCGGCCTCGATGTCCCGCACGTGCGGCCGGGGCAGGACCGCGCCGTCCAGCGTGACGGTGACCTCGGCCACGGCGGGGTCGCGGCGGATGTCGACCTCGAAGACGGCGCCGCGGAACCTCCGCGTGGCCCGCATGCCGTCCCAGGCGGACGGCAGCTGCGGGTGGACGCGCAGGCCCTCGGCGTCGCCGCGCAGGCCGCACAGGCCCTCGACGAAGCAGCGGTACGCCCACGACACCGTGCCCGTGTTGAACAGCTGGCTGGACCGCCCCGCCGTGCGCGGGTGCTCGCGCCACGCGCCCCGGTAGTAGTTCGGGATGTACACGGGCAGCTGGCCGCGCTGCACGTAGTCCGCCTCGCTCGGGCCCGGGATCATGCGCCGCAGCAGGTCGTAGGCCCGGTCGGCTTCCCCCTGTCCTTGCCCCTCCTGCGTCGTGTCGTTGGAGGCGCCGATGCCGAGCGAGTACAGGCTGTGGATGTAGAACACGGCGGCGTGGTTGTAGACGGACGCGTTCTCGGCGGAGCCGGGGTACTTCTGGGTGACGCGGCCGATGTCCTCGCGCATGGCGCTGTAGGGCGGGCCGAACATGGCGACGCCGTAGGGGGTGGCGAGCTGGGCGTCGACCTGGGCGAGCATGGAGCGGCGCTGGGCCGGGTCGGCGGCGGCGCCCGAGAGGATGGCCCAGGCCTGGGGGTTGAGCCAGATGCGGCCCTCGCGGTCGGCGCGGACGCCGAAGGCGACGTCGTCGTCGGTGATGCCGCGCGCGAACCACTCGCCGTCCCAGAGGTGGGCGTTGGCGGCGGCGTTGACGGCGCGCGCGCCCTCGGCGTACCGCGCCGCGGCCGCCGCGTCCCCCTCGTGCGCGCACACCGCCGACCACAGCCGCAGCGCGAACCCCGTCGCCACCGTCAGCCAGCCCGACACGCCCCGCCCCTTGTACCCGGCCATGTTCATCGGGTCGCACCAGTCGCCCTGCGCGATGTAGCTGAGCCCGCGGTGGTCGCGCGCGCGCAGCAGCCAGTCCATGGCGCGCCCGAAGCGGGCGTACACGGTGAGGGCGTCGCCGTTCGGGCCGCGCACCTCCTCGCGCAGGAGCCCGTAGTCGCCCGTCTCGGCCAGGTACACCTCCAGGGCCACGGGCAGCCAGACGCAGTGGTCCGTGTGCGGGATCTGGTTGATGTACTTGAGCTCGGCGCCCTCGACGAGGAGGATGCCGTCGGGCAGGGCGCCGCTGGCCTCCTGCTGCGAGAGCGCGTGGACGAGCGCGTGCCGCGCCACCGACGGGCGGATGTAGCTCATGCCCATGTTGTCCTGCAGGTAGTTGCGCGTCTGCGGGTCCGTCGTCAGCCGGTTCACGTCGCCGTGGTAGTACACCTGCCGCGCCAGCCAGTGGTTGACGAAGTTGTCCAGGTCCGGGTCGGGCGTCGAGATCTGCAGGCACCCCTGTCCTTGCTCGATGTACGCGGCGTACTCGCTCGCCGACGCGGCGAACGCCTCCGCGCTCAAGTACCGGTCACGCATCGCGCCGATCTCAGCGTCGTCGAAGGCAGGGCCGAACAGAAACCGGAAAGAGCGCGACTCGCCCGCCGCTAGTGACTCTAACCGGTATTGCACGGCGGCCGTGGGCGTCTCGTAGCGGGCATCGCTGCCGCTCAGCAGCGGGCCCTCGACCAACGCCGAGGGGGCGTGCAGGCCGCCCTCGCCCTCGAAGGCGCGCTGGCGCGCCTCCCACGCGTCGGGCGCCGTCTCGCACAGGAAGTACGTCTTGTCCTTGAGGTGCTTGTTCTTCCAGTAGTCCTCGGACTTCTGGTAGGGCGTGATGCTGGTGCCGACGACGCCGCCCAGGTCGGGGCGCCAATCGGCCGCCTGGTTCATCCACGACATGTAGCCCAGCGGGAAGTACGGGTAGACGCTGACGCGGCGCGGGCGCGCTGAGAGGTTAGTGACTTTCACGGTCCAGAGCTCGGCGACGTCGCGCAGGGGCAGGCCCAGGGTCATCTCGACGCGGAGGCCGAGCCGCTCCGCCGTCCACGCCATGTCGCTCTTGCTGACGGAGAAGACGAAGCGGTCTAGCGGGGCGCGCACCGGCTCGTACGGCGCCGAGAACAGCTCGCCCGTCTCGTCGTCCTTGACGTAGACGAACCGCCCCGGGTGGTGCGCGTAGTAGTTCTGCTCCGGCTGCATGAACGTCTTGGCCTCGATGTTGGGCGCGTGCGCGTACTTGGCCGGCTCTGGTTGCATGAACTGCGCCGTCGCATACCCGCGGCATGTCGCGTTGATCATCATCTTCTGGTTCCAAAGGAAGCCGCTGGCAGCTGGCATCGCCGTCGGGCTGGTCAGCTCGTAGCGCTCGCCGCCGTGCGTTGGTTGCAGTAGAGGCGCCATGGCCTTGTCCTGTTGTGTTTTACTTTGTTTTACTCTCATCTTCTGTCTTGTCTCTTCCCGCTACCTTGAGTTTATCTCGCGTTCCGAATGGACAGAGTGAATGCGAGCGTCTCTTTTACAAGGAGTAGTGCTGACAGTGTTGATGCTGGTGCGACCCACGACTTCCCTCTTCCCCCCAGACATCAAACAAGCGTGTTATGGGATTGGATGTTCTTTCTCTCGTCTGCTCCAGTTCCCGACTTAAAGCCAAAGTGTTGAGCCTTTTAAAAGGCGCACGCATAGCGAAGCGCCATCACCGGGCTTGGCCGGAGCGGCAGGCAGGGTCTTATGGCATTTAGGCTAAATGGAAGGCGCCGGCGAGCCGGTTAAGTGCTCCGGCCCCCCAAGGGAATCCCAAAGGGATGAGAAGGGGAAACCGACCGCATCTGGGATGCCGGCTTGTCTGCAAGGATGCCGCATCAGGCTTACTCACCTGACCGCAAAGCCAGCCGGATGGTGTAGGTAAGGTAAGTTGAGGCAAGGTAAGGCAACCAATCTATTGGTCTACCTACTTACCTACCTACCTACTGAGGGTGCATAAGTTTCCCTTTCTTCCCTTTTTCGCGATCAGGGGCAGCAGCAACTGGGAAGTGTGACAGTAGGGAAATACAGCCCGCAAAGCACAACGCGATGCAACAGCGGGATAGCGGCTGTGCCATTGCTCCATTGCTCTGCTGCTAAGCCGTGATTGTGCGTATGTGCTTGGCTTCCTGAGCAAATTAACCTGGCTACTTCGTACATACGTTCATGCTGTAGAGGTCGTTCTGATTGGCCTGCTTTGTGAGATTTCCGTTCCGGGCGCCTTCCGGGTCCCCTACCAACGGTCAGGCGCTTCTCCATACCCGAGGCTGCCGAGGGCGGCGGCTTGCCGAGCTTCGGGGGTTCCTCTTGTCCATCTCAAGCCCACTTACATCGTGATATGTTAAGACCGACTAGTAATTACCAGCTGTGTTATAGCTTATACCTATCATAACTATACCATGACCATTCCATGAGGGAGTCGTCGCTCGATTTCCTCGCTTGGGCAGTTGAGCTGGTTTGCTCGTGGATAAGTAAGTACCTGGGTACACGCTGACACGGTAGGATATAATGAAGGACCAATTCAATTGAGATTCGGACCTATTCGGGCACTTTCGTCCTGCATAAAGGCAGATTAAATCAATTTCATAGTAAATCCGGCCGAGGTTTCTATCCCCTATACCACGTTGCAGTCATCCCAGTTGGTAGGGAGGTACTGTAGGTACTGTAGGCACTATAGGCACGAAGGTGGGCGAAGATGGGCGAAGATGGGCGAAGATGGGCGAAGATGGGCGAAGATGGGCCACTGACTGTACCTAAACTTCGTACTCCGTAGGGGTGGGGAGAGTTGGGAGAATTTGAGGCCCCACGTGGTTCGGCGCCAAGTCCTACCTACAGCTTCATCTGTCACCGTCACTTCCAGGTTGTCAATGGTTGCTTCCATTTCCATGTAAATGGTTACCTGTGAATGGTGCGCTTCCAGGTTCCTAGCTTTTGGTGGAGGCCCGAGTGGACTCCCACCTGCCCGGGTGCATTTCTTTGCACCTTCGCACCTTCGCACCTTCGCACCTTCGCTTGAATATCGGAGGATCTCTCCACCAAATTCCGGCCAGAACAATATAGAGCCCCAAATCAACAAATTTTTCAATCACAAAAGCTGGCGTGGTCTAATGGTTATGATTTCTCGTTAACACCCAAAAAGTGTCAACTTTCACCGAGAAGGTTCCGCGTTCGATCCGCGGCGCTAGTACATTTCTTTTGCCTTTTCTTTTTCTTTTTCTTCTTTGCATATTCTCTTTTTGGTCCGTCTCTTCTATCACTGATCGATGCATCATGCTTTTGTTCTGTCATTACTTACCATGTACTATACTATACTCTATGGTATAGACCACTTAGTTTGGTACTATACCATCCTATTCCAATGTCGGTCCATTCTTCGAAATGGATTAAACCCCCAACCCTCCCTCTCCCATAAGTACAAGCACATGATAAAGACGATCAAACGCCCCCGTATAACCCTGAACGTTTGCGTCTTCTCGAACCAACCATATGTTATGTGCCAGCGAGTCGCCTTCCGTATCCACGGCCCTGCCCACGCTAATCCGCTGCTCCGCAGTCATGCTCTCCAAGACCGTCTCATCACGTCCGGGGCCATGACTTCCCACCCACCCCGCCTGACTTCATTCCCTAGGGTACCCTTTGCGCACAGGATCGTCTCCATGATCTTGGTGATCGTTTTCAACGCGCTTCCCTTCGTCTCAAGGTGACTGTTGGACTTGGTTCGGTCATCAATGTCCTGGATGTACTCGTCGATTTCGTCGCAGGCGTCGCCCGCGGCGTCGTACTGGCTCCTACTGCTGAGTTTGGTGTATTGGCTGTAGTTCAACACCTTCCAGACCTCTTTGCTGTGGTGGTCGAAGTCGATAGGCGGAATCTCAGCGAGCTTGTGGTAGGCCTGCCGGACAGCAGCTTGGGCCGAAGGGCTGCCGCGAGCAGTCGCCAGAGCGATGAGAATGGCCCGGACAGTGGCATTGTCGAGGTCCTTGACCATCTCCTCGAACCCTGGCGGTGCCGGAACTGTGGCTTCGGCTTCCCATCTCGGTCTTTTGCCATCGGGCACTTGCTGCATTGGAGGTAGAAGACCGGTGGACGCCACTCCACCGTATGCATCGACGGGCGCCCGAAGACATGCAACTCTGGGGTCGGCGAACCACTCGTCGCCAGGCTGAATCCAGCAGCTAGTGCAGCTGGGTGCACCGCATCCCTCACCGTCACAACCCCTGGATCTTTTGACATTGCGATATTTGGATTGTGTGATGCAGAGAAGCAGGAGAAAGGTGCATAGCTAGACTGAATGTCAATTAGATATCATGACGTTAGTCTCTTCGTTACCCGGACGACACTTTTTCCTTCATGGTGAAAATGAATGGACCCGCTTATAACCCCTTTTCGCCATGCTACATATCACCATCACCTCTCCTCACGTAGCTTGAAGGACAAGAGTCTCTGTGTCTGTTTATACTAGGCCCCGAATAATATAATAACTGGGATTGGATACCTCAGCCATACCATGCTCATGGAGGTAGATATGCAAGGTTATTTATCTGCGATGGTAGATACCAGAACTTTTTATGTGATACTACTTCGATGCATCGAGGAGATGTCCCAAGCATATTAAGGATTATACCTATGCGAAGCGCACCCACACTGGTCTCTGAATTCAATACTAGCAGAAAGGGGTATGTAAAAGAGTCTCATGTAAAAGGCTTTTCTCACTTACCTCAGCGCTAGCCAGCTGCTCCTACGTTCTTCCCGGGACGACTGGTCCGATCCTGCACTCCGGTATCGGCAATAGCTACTAGAAAAATTCAGTTCATCACAAGGGAACCCGGATCGCTGCAAATGGACTGAAGAGGTTAGGCGTCAAGCAATTGATATACGGATCAGCGTTCAAGTCAAACAAATTTTTGTTTCGAGTAGGGACTGGGCTCACGAGAGTCTCAAAAAGGAGAGTTACATGACTGAATAGATAGAAAGGTAGTGCGTAGAGACACGCCGACTTATAAAAGAATCTGTGTGGGTAATCTATTCTTCTATTCGGTATTAATACTAGGCATTAATAACTAGCTGTCTATATCGCTAACTGTTTTGAAGGGCAACCGTCACGTAGAACTGCCCTCGCACCATGCCATGCACCAATGCCACGCCGTGCAGGTACTCTAGCCAATAAATATCCAAAGGCTTGTAGTAGAGCAGGCTTCGTCCTTCCGTCCATTGCCTCGCATCATGTCATAAAATCATCTTCTTCTAGTAGGTAGTGGTGATATTCTGCTGTTCGATCGTGCCGCGTCCCTCGCGCCAAACAAAGTAAAAAAGGTGTATAAAATAATCAGCGCTCCGTGGGGGTATTATTTCTCTATAACGTCAAACTCCGCTTTTGCTTTTCATCCAAACTGTATTTTTTTCCCGCCTCCGTGAGGTCCAAAGTTCCATGATGCTTGTCTGGGTGATATATCATCGCGCAAAAAACCAGCCTCCCTCCCTCACGGACGCTGCTCCGTCAGACTCGGCCTGCTGGAGCTCGCCGCGCTGCTGCTAGCACCACCACCCGCGATGCTGTTGGACCCGCTGGCGAGGCCGGGGCCGTGGTGGTGGTAGTGGTTCTGGCTCGACAGCATGAGCTCCTCGACGGCGCCGCCCTCGAACTGGATCTCGGTCGAGGTGTAGGTCGGCGGCGAGGGGGGCACGTAGTACGAGGGGGGCGAGGGCGGGACGTCCTGGTAGATGGGGGGCGCCTCGTTGTCCCAGCTGACGCCGAGCCCGGGCCGCTCGGTCAGCACGACGCCGAAGTGCATGCGCAGGATGCGCGCCACGCCCGTCGGCGTGATGTGCTTCAGGTTGCTCGTGGGCGCGTACTCCTGCACGACCACCATTTCGACCACCAGCTGGTGCGTGATCTCGGTCTCGGCGGCCTCGGTCCCGTCGCTGCTGCGGCTCTTCAGGTTGCACGACGCCTTCGCGCTCGGGTCGCAGTGGAACTCGATCTCCGCCTCGATCTTGCCGTCCGGCGAGTAGTCCGCCTTCCACCCCTGGTGCAGGTCCGCCGACCCGATCACCCGGTCCGACGAGCGCTTGATGCCCTTCTTCGGTACCTGCTGCTCGGGCTCCGTCGTAGTGGTGGCGGCAGGCTTCGGCGCGTGCTTGTCGCAGGCGGGCGCCACGGTCGAGAGGCTCTCCTCGATGCGCCACGATAGGCGCTTGAGCTTCCAGTACTCGACCGACTTGACGTCGACATTGTGCTTAACGATGCCGTCCAGGCGGAGCTCGAGTTTGTTTCCGCCGATGGGGTGGATCACCTGCGGGTAGTGCACTGATGCGGCGATGTTCGTGGGCGGGAACACACGTATGCTGTGGTGTGGTAATTCCGGCACGGGAAGCGAGCGCTTCACGTCGATCGTCTTCGAGAGCTTGATGGTGGGCCCTGTCGTGGGCTTGACCTCCGCGAAGAAGTCGTACTGTACGGAGACAAGCGAGTTGTCTGTCGTCGCTGGCAGATGGCCCTCTAATAATATGGAGAAAGGAAACTCGTGTGTCCCTGTGATGGCATGTTAGTGAGCGTGCTCCGCTTTGAGAAAGGGGGTGTGGGGGAGGGCAGGGGGTCATGGGGCATGAGGGAACCTACGTGGCGTAAGAGTCGTGGGTTCACTCAGGAATGTCCACGACTTCAGCTCCGTCTTCTGGTTTGCGCAGTCGCTGCAATGGCCCTGGAAAGGCTTCTTTTGTGTAACGTGGATGTTCAATCTCGCCGTGAAGCTTTCCACCTCGAGGGGTATGTCTTTAACCTTCAAGACCATCTGACCCGACACTAAGGCGCCAGTGCTAGATTCCGTGTCGCCGTGCATCATCGCCGGCGGCGACTCTATCCTCCAATCAAGCGAGGCATGCGGATGTTGTGGCTGCTCCTTGGGTGCCTTGGACCCGCCCAGATGGAGACCGGGGAAACTTAGGCGGTGGTGGTGTGATTCCTTCTCTTTCTTGCCGGATTCGGTCATCTTGGCTGCCGGGGCACTCGGATTCCTTACTGAAGATTGACGGTGTTCAGTGTCTTCGTCTGATGATGATGCATACGACACTCTGCGTACAGTTCCTTCCCGAGGTCTTCTCGGCTGTGTCTTGTTGGGGTTGGGGCTTTTCCTCCGCTGCACCGTTGCTTTGAGGCTGTTGATGTTTTCGTTGGAAGAGCGGAAGAAATTCGCAACTCGGTGCGGCATCTCGAATGATGCCATCTATAAGTGGTTCTTTGGAGCTCGTTTCTTTGAATGGGCGCTAACTTATCAGTCTGGATGCTGAGTGCCGTGTGCCACCGGAATTCGCTAGTTTCTCTCAGGCAGGCGAATATGGCCAGGGGGTGCCAAGATATAAAATCCCGGAGTTTGGTGGCTGCGAGATCGCTGTCCGAAAATCTGGGGTCAGGTATTTGTCTTAGATTCTCCAGAGTTCTGACGTGGTGAAACTAGTCAGTGGTATCGTATTGAACTAATCGGATGATACAATCCTGCAGGACCACTAGACTGTTTATGTGCCGATGTACGGGTAGCTCGATTATTTCTGATGATTTCCGATTTTTTCTGACTCTTTCCTCGGCCAGCCCTGCTAGCTTGAATGGTGGCTCGCTTCCTGCGGTTGCAAGGCACTTTCTAGATGATGCTATTATTGCCTTCTCGACCCGACGTGAAGGGTGTGGGCGGCCTTTGTGAGTGGTGCGTGGTAAATGCCGGGTTGGGCAAATATCCAATATCGCCCAGGGTCCTGATTGGCCGGCGAGGTTGTATGTCTGCCGTAACTCTTTCTCGAATCGAAGACGCTGGAAGCTGTAGATACCCAGGGAGCTGAGCTAGATGGCTAGGTGGCTAGGTGGCTAGGTAGAGCTTGGAACAGATATCGGAAGTGTATATTCAGGTGATTGTCTATTCAATCTGCCTACAATTGCGATGACTTGGCATTCGCTGTCAAAGAACGTCGAGGTAGGCTGGTTTGGGCGAATTACCGGATTAGGATATGTTGGCGCCTTGGTGCGGTGGTGTAAGTGTGTAAGTGTGTAAGTGTGTGTAAGTGGTGTAACTCTTAAGTGGCGTGAGTGCTATGAGGGGTATCTGGTATCTGGAATCTGGAATCTGGAATCTGGAATCTGGGGAAACAAAGAAACAAGAGAAGCTCAAAAGCTCAAAACCACTCGGAAAATGTACGTCT